CCCGAAGCCAGTAGCGCTGGCTCGGGCAGCTTGGCTCTTAAACAGAGCCGAAGAGTCAGGGGAGGAGCAGAGCAGCCGGAGCCCGGGAGAGGAAGTGCCCGGCCGGGGGCGCAGGGTCCGGAGGCAAGGGGGCTGCCTGAAGCCCAAGCGCTACAGGCTTCATGGTTTGCCAGGCAGCCTCCAGACCCTGTGCCCCCGGCTGAGCACTTCCCCACCCGGGCTCCAGCTGTGCTGGGGAAGCGCCGGCCGGGGGCGCAGGGTCTGGAGGCTGCCCAGCAAACGGTGAAGCCGGTAGCGCTTGGGCAGCCCTTTTCGCGTGGCTGGGAGGGAGGAGGGGAAGTTAGGGCAGGGACTTTGGGGAATGGGCGGAGTTGGGTGGGGAAGGGGCGGAGTTGGGGCGGGGCCGGGGTTGGAAAGGGGCATGGCCAGGGCCCCGTGGAGTGTCCTCTTTTTTTATTTTTTAAATATGGTAACCCTAATTAACAGTGAATGGAGGTTGATGCTGAGTGTACAACAAACCTTTTGTATTAATTCTACTCAGTGCCAAGGAGGCCAGCATTATGCACTGAAGTACAGAATATATGGGAGAGTACAGCCTGCAAAGGAATTTAGTTACCAAGTTCCTAGAGGCTTCCCGCTCCTAGTGCATCACACTTGCCCTAACAGACAGGATTTCTCTGCCTATTTAATGCAATAACCATGTTCCTGTCTCCCCACACATCCTGTAGGCCTAGTCCAGGGAATGAGCATTGCAGCCCAGTGAGTGCCGCACATTCAGGCCATCCTGGCTCACCAAGTGTGCATCCCAGCATAAATGGACAGATCCTCGGCTGCTGCAACCAAGGCATTTAGTGCAGCTTAGGAAGTCAGGTTAAGAAAAAAGCAACAGAGGGTCCCGTGGCACCTTTAATACTAACAGAAGTATTGGAGCAAGATTCAGACTAAACACGGCTACCCCTCTGATACTTGACACCAGGTTAAGAAAGTAGCTTTAAATTACCATTGTGTTCCCCATATCCAGGGGCCATCCTGGTCCCAGTCCCAACTCCAGCCTGAAGGCTGCTCTAACTTACAATATTGCCCAGCAGTCAGAGATCCACTGGGCAAGAGGGAACTCTGGGGATACACTCTTTGCCAGGAGGGGTTTGTGCCATAGTAACCTTTGCACCAGCATGACACAGCGCACTGGAGGGTCTGACCACCTCAGGCTGTGTCCCAGACTGAACAGGTATATCTAGCTCATCACGTGCCTATCTCCACTCAGTGACTTGGATTGGGCACCAGGTTTGGAGTGGAAACTAGGATTCCATTCCCAGCTCTGCCCTTGTCTCACTGTGTGACTTAGGAAAAAAATCACTACATCTCTCTGTGTCTTCGTTAGTTTCCCCATCCGTAAAGCATGTTAAGTGCTACACATACTTATGTGTCCTGCGGAAATATGCCTCACATATTCCAGCCCCAGGAGTACCTGTCCTGATGGAACATGTCCAACACTCCCATCCCAACAATGGCAGGGCCAGTGGATCTCAGCCTGGGTTTGTGTCCTGGCCCAGTGAAGAGGTGTCCCAGCACAATGTGTCCAGTGCATACTCATCTCTCAGCACAACATGTTCTGCAGGTCCTGGTACAATGTGCTGAAAGTGACCCAGCTGATGTACACATGATCCACTAAGTCCCTCTGGCCTGCTGAGCAGAACTGGGAAGGGGTGATTTCACTCCAGAGGTCAGACTCTTCTCTGACTACACTAATGGCTGAGGATGATGTTGGGGCACTATTCTGCTGAGGGCCCTGATACTAGAATGAGATATAAAATGAAGCACTAATTGCTTGTGATCATTAAAGATCCCATGGCACTTTTCAATCTGGGTATGAATTCCAGTGTTGTGATGCCAGTCAGAACAGCAGGGGTTAAGGAGAGCCTTTGGGCCCAGCTAACCCCACCCTGCTATCCCTGCAAACAGTGCCAGGCCTGGAGAGGGGAGAAAAGGTCAGAGACTGGATCGGTTCAGGGCTGACTGAAGAGGCAGGAGCTACCTGCCTTCCTACCCATAGGCACCGACTCCGTGGGTGCTCCAGCCCTGGAAAAAAAAATGCGGCTGCTTATCACCCACTGACAGCTTACGCCTTCCTTCCCCTCCCAGCGCCTCCTGTCCGCCGCAATCAGTTGTTCGGTGGTGTGCAGGAGGCACGTGGGGGGAGGGGACAAGTGGGGATGAGGTACGCTTGGGGGAGGGGGCAGAACTAGGTGGGGAAGAGGTGGGGTCGGGGCTTGGGGTAAGGGGTGCAGTGGGGGCAGGGCCTGGGGCTGAGTGGAGGTTGGGCAAAGGAAAAAGCCGCTGCCTGTGTCCCTACCTGAGGGGAAGGAGCTCTAGCCTACCAGCCAAGGCAGCCACCTGGGAGAGAGCACTGTCTTCCCAGACAAGGGAGCCTGCGAAGGGGACCTATGTACCCAGCACCCCAGGTAACTGCGTGAGCGACCCCAGAGACATTGTGGGGCTTGCCCTAACCAACTTGCAGCTGCCCTGCCCAAAGGAGCTGCGCAAAACCCAAGAGAGGTCGGCAAGCCACCAAGCAAACTGGACTAGAGGGGCCACACCCCAAACTGAATTGACTGGTAGGACATAGCCCAGGGCAGTGCGTTTTGACTCCCTGCTTGGGGCTACCCCTCCCTCCGTCCATCCCCCCCATTCTCCAGTTCAGAGGTTGACATGCACAGGGCTCTGGGCTGGGACCTGGTGGAGAGGGAGGGCCTGGGTCCCTCTGCCCCCACTGGCTTTAAAGACTGAGGCTCCTCAACCAAGTAGAAGGCTGAGAGCCCTGGCCAGCCCTCAAAGCCACCTGTTACAGATGTCTTGGCTAGATTCCAACCTGGGTAATTAGTTCTGTTTACCAAGAATTCCCCCAGCAGCTTTAGTGGGGGTACATCGTTCTCTCTGCTTCTTCTTGTAAACTCTTAAGTAATGCTGCTGCTAAGAGCTCAGGCCAGAGGTGACTGCATTTCAGCAATAGATGAAGTGATTCCTGTGGATGTGGCCTATAAAATGCTCTGGGATCCACTGAGATGAAAGGTGCTCTGGCAGGCTTCCCCCACCCATTGGCTAACAATATGGGAAGGGTCATCATTTAGTCATTGTTATGTTATACTCTAAAATCAGAAAGAGCATGGCCAAAGCCAGGAACGAAGGCTAGACCTCTGTCTCCAGGATCATGATACTTCCTGTTCATTCAGTGAGCTCCAATCACTTGACAAACAAGGGTGAGCATCATTAGTTCCATTTTATACTAGGGGAACTGAGACACAGCGGGGAAGTCACTTGCCCAACATCAGCCAGCGAGTCAGTGGCAAAGCTAGGAACAGAGCCCTGGTCCCTTGATTCCCAGTCCACTGGCCATGTTGCCCCAATACAGGATAGACAATAGCATGGTAGCTTGGTACAGCAATCTCACCCAGGTAAACCATTCTAAGAAATTCAGGCTAGAATGCGAATTCCATATGAATAGCACTAGTGAAAGCTAGTCCCTGCTTACCAGAGTCGAATGGATGCAGCGTGATCTCTCCAATGCCAAACTTTGAAGAGCAGTGGTGTATTCTGCTTGCTGGGTCTGCTTCCAGGTCCTGTCCGTCCCAGCCTGTGGCTGCAGCCTCCCCGCACACACAGTTCTATTGATCAGAATTGCAGAACTGAAAGGATTGCAAAAGCTTCCTGCCAAGTCATTAGAGAAGAGGAAATGTCATGTGATAGCAGGGCGAAGGAAAAGAGAAATAAACTAAGACATGGGGGGAAAGCAAATTGACAGCAAAGACTGGGTGTCCCTGAAAAGACATTAGCAGTAGCATTTCATCAAAGGAACTCTACTTCTAATGGCTGTGTTCCTGAAAGAGATAGGGACATCAACATTCGCCTCTGGAGGCCAAGTAGGAATGCAGTCCCTTGTCTGTGGTTAAGTCAGGAAGCAAACAGCACTTGAATGGCATCTTTCCCAGCAGCGGGGCTGGCCTGTGCATAGAGTGCTTTTTCTTTACAAATCCAAGAAAATTAATTGCTAGAGAACTGGTCACTCCACATAAAGGCTGGAATTTTTGATGCACAACGGCCACAGGGGCCGATTCTCCAGTAAATAGTCAGCTCTGCATCTTTACGCCAGTACTAAACAGACTTAAACCTGGGGAATCCAGCCACTCTAGGACTCCTGTTCTGCAAGGGGATCCTCAGGGGTTGATGAGCCATCCTAGCCGTTCCTACCCTACTCTCTACCAGGCACTGGTGTAGGGGTTAAGACTGGAGGAAAGAAGACATGGCCTGGGGTATCTTTGTGCCTGACAATCCCTAGCTCCCAGAACAGCCCTGGGGCCATTGTCAGCTGGTACAACTTAAAGCAGCATTGGACCATTCTGTGTTGCTCTTGGGAACTGGCTTAGTGCTTGACAGCCCCAAGATCAGGGCACCAAAGATGATTTACATAACAGCCCAGGATCTGGGCCAGCGAATGCAAAGTTCTGCTTCCCATAGCCATTGTAACTGGACAGCAATCATAGAATCATAGGGTTAGAAGGGACCACAAAGGTCATCTAGTGAGTCTAACCCCCCTGACAAGATACAGGATTTGTTGTGTTTAAGCCATCCAAGACAGTTGGCTATCCAGCCTCCCTTTGAAAATCTCCAGTGAAGGAGCTTTCACAACCTCCCGAGGCATCTGTTCCATTGTCCTACTGTTCTTACAGTTAGGAAGTTTAACCTGAGATTTAATCTGCTATGCTGTAGTTTGAACCCATTGCCTCTTGTCCTTCCCTCTGTGTCAAGAGAGAACAACTCTTCTCCATCTTTTTCACAGCGGTCTTTCAAGTATTTAAAGACTGCTGTCATGTTCCCCTTCAATCAGGGCTGGCTCTAGGGTTTTGACCGCCCTAAGCAGCCAAAACAAAACAAAACAAACAAACAAACAAAAAGCCGCGATCGCGATCTGCGGCGGCAATTCAGCGGGCGGTCCTTCGCTCCCAGGGGGAGTGAGGGACAGTCCGCCGAATTGCCGCTGAATACCTGGACGTGCTGCCCCTCTCCGGAGCGGCCGCCCCAAGCACCTGCTTGAGAAGCTGGTGCCTGGAGCCGGCCCTGCCTTCAATCTCCTCTTTTCCAAACTAAACATGCCCAGTTCCTTCAGCCTTTGCTCATATGACTTGCATTCCATCCCTTTGATCATCTTTGTTGCTCATTTCTGGATCCTTTCCAGTTTCTCTAAGTCCTTTCTATACATTGGTGACCAAAACTGGACACAGTACTCCAGCTGAGGCCTACTTAGCGCTGAGTAGAGTGGTACTATCACCTCCCGTGACTTGCATGCTGTGCCTGTTAATGCAACCCAAAATTGCATTTGCTTTTTTTACAACAGCATCATATGGCTGACTCATGTTGAGGTTGTGATCCACCTCCACTCCCAGATCCTTCTCAGCAGTGCTGCTGCCAAGCCAGTTATCCCCCATTCTGTATTTGCGCATTTGGTTTTTCTTCCCTAAGTGTAGCACTTTACATTTGTCTTTGTTGAATTTCATTTTCTCGTCTATAGCCCAGTTCTCCAATTTATAAAGAGCCCTCTGAATTTTAGCTCTATCCTCCCAAGTGTCAGCAACCTCCCGCCCCAGCTTTGTGTCATCTTCAAATTTGATCAGTATGCTCTCTATTCCCACATCCAGGTCATTAACAGAGATTTTTAACAATACTGGACGCAGAACAGATCCCTGTGGAACCCACCAGAGACCTCCCTCCAATCTGACATCATACCATTAATAGTTACTCTTTGTTTGCGGTTGTTTAACCAATTATGTGTCCACTTAATGGTAGTTCTGCCTGTAATAGAAAGAGAGCCTGAGATATAAGCCCTTGTATCAGAGATCCGGCCTGTGGCCTGAACTAAAGTAGTGGTCAAGCCTTGCTAATATAAAGCAAAGTTAGCAAGAGACAGGCTGTGAGCAGAGTCAGGCTCTGCCTGCGTGCAGGCTCACAGAATCTGTCAAGAACAGGGCTGGTATTACAAAAACACACACATTCCTGAGAAATGCTGGGCACAGGACACTCATGCAAACACATTCCAGAAGGATGGTACCAGAACACCCCAATACCAAGTATGGTACAAACACATGCCCCAAGGATGATACAAAAATACACTGACCCCCTCTTAGAGATAAGGTCAGGATGACAGTGTGATGGATAGATATGTTTTGATCAAACCAACATGTAAAAGGTAATGGGTGGTAACTAACTACGTCAGAGGGTGGTAACTGACCATGTCAGAGGGCAATACATAACTTGTTTGTATCAGTGTATAAAATGGAGTCTCAGACTGGGAGTGTCTTTGGCTGGCCGGGGGGCAGTGAAAAGTCCTGCCACTGACTGAGCTGGTCCATTGTGATGGGCATACATGTGTTAGTGATCCTGTAGAATCTTCATTAACAATAAACCTGGCCGGGTGCCTTCGCTACTAAACAGGTCTGTGGTTATTGGGCAGTTCGATCGGAACCTGCTGTACGGGCTATCTGGCCAGAGCCAGTGCAGCATGCAGATAGAACACATACACATAGCCAACATCTGATGACACTGCGTAAGCCCACATTTCTCCAGCTTACTTATCAGAATGTCAAGTGAAACTGTGTCAAAAGCTTTCCTGAAATCCAGGTATATTATGTCCACTGTGTTCCCCCTATCCTCCAAACCAATTACCCTGTGAAAGAAGGAAACCAAGCTGTTTTGGCATGATTGTTCTTGGTAAATCCATGCTGGCTGCTAGTGATCACCCCTTCATCCTCCTGGTACTTGCAAGTTCTCAGCAAACTCTCTGTGTTTGCTTCTCCTCTGTTCACTGTTGTAATACATACACACACCGCGGTGTTAAAGTCTCCTCTAGAGGTGACTGGTGAACAGTGGGCCACCACATTGCCCAAGAGCTCACTGGGACTAAAGGTCACTATGGGTATGTCTACACAGCATTTTGGAGCAAGCCTCCCAGCTTGGGTCAACAGACTTGAGCTTGCAAGGCTCATGCTAGTACTCTAAAAATAGTGTATAGACAGCACCCCTCCCCACACACACATGATCCGTAGGCTTTAGAATCTGAGTGCCAGCCCAAGGCACAACTTCAAAGTGCTGTCTAGACAGGCATTTTCTTGCCAGAGTGTTACCACGAGCCCTGCTAGCCCAAATCTGCATGTACCCTATGGCTCTTCCCCATTGAGAATCAGAGACAACCCAAGCCTGCCAATAGTGGGGGGCAGAGTGAGAGCAGCCAGCTTCAGCAGATGTTACTGAGCATGCTCAGTATAAGACAAGCAGCAAATCGGGGGGAGGACATATGATCTTGCGTGCCCTCCCACCTAGGGTTGCCCTAGGGTTGCCAGGTGTCTGGTTTTCGACTGGAATGCCTAGTTGAAAAGGGACCCTGGAAGCTCCAGTCAACACTGCTGACCAGGCCCTAAACGTTCAGTTGCGGCACAGAGGGGCTGGCAGGCTCCCGGCCAGGCTCCACGCAGCTCCCAGAACCAGCGACATGTCCCCGTGGCTCCTCGGTGGAGGGACGACCAGGGAGGCTCCACGTGCTGCCGCTGCCACAAGCAGTGGGAGCTGCGGGGGTGGCGCCTGCAGGCGGGGGCAGTGTGCGGAGCCTCCTTGACCATTCCTAGGCCTAGGAGCCGCACAGAGGGACATGCCAGCTGCTTCCCGAACCCCCTCCCACACTCCTGTCCCAGCCTGAGCCCCTCCCGCACCCTGAACCCATTTCTGGCCCCACCCTGGAGCCTGCACCCCCAGCCCAGAGCCCATACCTCAATCCCCTGCCTTAGCCCAGAGCCACCTCCCACATTCTGATCCCCTTCGCCCCACCTCCCCGCCCAAAGCCCTCTCCTGCACCCCAAACCCCTCTTCCCTGGCCCCACTCCAGATGGGATCAAGACCAGGCCAGAAAACGCTGAGACCCTCTGCCCCACAACCACACAGGGACATGGGCTGCCAACCACCTAGTCTGATATGTGTCAGGAAGAGACATGAGGCTGAAGGACACTGAAGGAAGAAGGAACCCCTCAGAGACTGTCAGCACAAGCTGCCCTCACACTCGTGCAAAGGCAGGGGGCAGGAATCCCTGGAGTGTAGACAGTAACTGGCCTGTGCCATTGGCTCGATGCTGAACTGCTGGGCCTCAAGGCAGGGAAGGAGCTGGTTTCCACGGACAGGTGTAGAAAACTCAGGAGAAGAAATATGGGTGAAGCAACATTGTGACCCCATTTACACTGGCTACTGTGGGGGCGGGGGGCAGATAGAACTAGCATCTGCCAAGCCTCTGCGACAGGGGCCGACTCTTCCCCTCCCCATGCTTTACTCAGCCCTGCCATTCACTCAAAGGGACGCAGTGCCATGCTGCCCCCCAGCAGCACTTGGGAACAGTGCATGTGTTCTGGGCCAGCACTGGGATCCCAAGCGGTGTGCGACAGGGGCAGCAGAGCTGATGTCAGGGCCCGGCCAGCAGCTCAGGGGATGCGGTGCCTCAGGGGAGAGAGCTCTGGACAAAGAACAAGCCTAGGAGCCAGGAGAGCTGTCTGCCCTGCCAGTGCTTGCCTGTGTGACTAATGCTGACCTCCTCTTCCCACGCCTTCAATGACACCAGCCGGAATGCCCCTGTTCTTCCCCCAGGCTGCCCCTGCACAGGGCATGCCTCCTACTCCTATCCTCCCTTCAGCAAGCCACTAGGGAGGAGTCCCCTCTAGGAGAGACCGAGGGCTTGTCTACACTGCGAGGTTGTTGACAAAACTTTTGTCTTTCACAGGTACTTAAAAAAGTCCCCCCTGCCACTTACAGGGCTGGAAGTATTTTGTCAGCAAAAGTGCCAACAAAATACCTACAGAGAGCGTTTACACATGCTGAGTTTTAGCTGTGTAGTGTAGACAAGCCCTGAGGGACTGGAGCCGAGGTAGCAGCAGGAACATTGGGTGAGACCCCGGCAGACTCCCTGCTAGTTTTGTTGTCACATTTAGCACAGCACAATCAAAGGGGCCTCTCATTTGGGGAGCTCAGGGACCTGGTGCCCTGCATTAGCCCCCAAGGGCCAGACTGGCCAGAGGCTCTGAGCAGCCGCAGCTCCCATTGACATCAGCTAGAGTTGCCAGGTGTCTGGTTTTCGACCGGAACGCCCAGTCGAAAAGTGACCCTGGTGGCTCCGGTCAGCGGTGCAGTGGAGCTAAGGCAAGCTCCTTGCCTGCCCTGGCTCCGCACAGCTCCCAGAAGTGACGGCATATCCCTCTGGGTGGCCCAGTAGCATAGCTAGGGGTGGAGCGGGGGGAGTGGCCGCTCCCCCACTGAGCACAAGTGGCGCCTTGTCAATTTCTTGGCGCCTTTGTACTCACCCAGGGAGCGATAAAAAAAAAAAAGGTGCCACCCACTGCGGCGCTTTTATTTTACTCACCCGGTGGTGCTCCGGGTCTTTGGCGGCGGGACCTTCACTCGCTCCAGGTCTTCGGCGGCACTTTGGCGGCGGGACGTCACTTGCTCCAGGTCTTCTGCGGCATTTCGGCGGTGGGACCTTCACTCGCTTCGGGTCTTCCGTGGCACTTTGGCGGCAGAACCTTCACTCGCTCCAGGTCTTCGGCGGCACTTCAGCGGCGGGACCTTCAGTGCTGCCGAAGACACCCGGAGAGAATGAAGGGCCCGCCGCCGAAGACACCCGGAGAGAATGAAGGGCCCACCGCCAAAGACCCGGAGCGCCGCCGGGTGAGTAAAAGCGCTGCAGCGGGTGGTGCCTTTTTTTTTTATTGCTCCCCCATTCTCTCCACCTGGCTACGCCACTGGGGTGGCCCTAAGGTGGAGGGACCAGGGGACTCCATGCACTGCCCCCACCCCGAGCTCCCACTCCGCAGCTCCCATTGGTCAGGAGCCGTGGCGAATAGGAGCTGCGGGGGCGGCGCCTGCGGGTGAGGGTAGCGTGCACTGCGCAGAGCCACCTGGCCCCTTTACTTAGGAGCCGCCTGGAGGGATATGCCACTGCTTCTGGGAGCCGCCTGAGGTAAGCACCACCCAGAGCCTGCATCCCCTCCCACACCCAAACTCCCTCCCAGAGCCCGCACCCAGGGCCATCCTTAGGATTTATGGGGCCCTACGCAGTATTATTAAACTGGTGCCCCTATGCTTCGTACGCAGCAGACTCTGCGGCAGTGGCTCAAGGCAGGCTTTGTGCTGTCACATGGACGCTGCATCCTGCAGCCCGTTGCCACACCTGGCTCACCACAAGCATTTTGACAGGAAGTACCAAGCAGTAATAACAACAACAATAATACAAGAGTGTGTGCGTGACAGTGTGTGTGTGCGTGCGGAGTGTGTGTGTATGTATGTGTGTGAGAGAGACAGCCAGTACGTGTGAGAGAAACAGAGAGAGAGATTGTGTGTGTGTGACTGTGTGTTGGGGGACTGTGATTCATGAGAGGCAGAGTGTATGTGGGTGTGAGAGCCAGTCGATGTGCGCAAGAGACTGTGTGTGTGTTAGTGAACTGTGAGAGACAGTGAGCGCACTGTCACTTTAAGTCCCCCTCTTCCTCTCCACCCCCCACTCACATAGAAGTTTCGCTCCTCGGTCCTGGCCCCGTCCCCCGCCGGAGACCGAGTGCCGCAGGCAGGCAGGGTCCAGGGAGCGACTCAGCTCCAGGCGGCAGTGGGCCGGACTGCGCCGCTCTGGGCTCGCCAGGGCTGGGTCGGCAGAGCTGGAGCCCGGAGCCCTCAGCCGGCTGGCTGAGGAGCCAGTGAGGGAGGGGGCGGGGTTGGGGAGAAGCCTGCCAGCCCAGTGCGGGGGAGGGGCCGTAGAAGAGAGGATTCCAGCTGAGGCCAGTGAGGGTGGTGCCCCAAATTTTTGGGTGCCCTACGCAACTGCGTATACTGCGTATGCCTAGGGACGGCCCTGCCCACACCTCCTGCTGCACTCCAAACTCCTTGGCCCCAACCAAGAGCCTGCACCCCCCGCTGGAGCTCTCCCCCACTCCTGCACCCCAACCTCCTGTCCCAGCCTGGAGCCCCGTCCTGCAAACCAAACCCCTCATCCCTGGCCCCACCCCAGAGCTTGCACCCCCAGCCAGAGCCTGCACGACTCCGCAACCCAACCCCCTTCCCCAGCCAGTAGCCCCCTCCCATATTCCAAACCCCTTGTCCCCAGCCTGGAGACCCTTCCTGCACCCCAAACCCCTCATACCCAGCCCTACCCCAGAGCTCACACCCCAGCCAGAGCCCTCACCCCCCTGCAATCCAACCCCCTGCCACAAGCCCCCTTCTGCATCCCTGGCCCCACCCCAGAGCCCGCAACTCCAGCCAGTGCCCTTACCCTCTCCCGCACCTCAACCCTCTGCTCCAGCCAAGTGAAAATGAATGAGGGTGGGGGAGAGTGAGCGAGGGAGGGAGGGAGGTGGGATGGAGTGAGGGGCCTCGGAGAAGGGGCAGGGGCAAGGTAAAGGTGTTCGGTTTTCTGCAGTCAAAAAGTTGGCAAACCTAACGTCAGCTGCAGCTGTGAGTGCTGCTGGAAACCAGGCCCCGCCCTGGGGATTTCACATCAATGTCTCATTTCTGGAGTGCCCAAACTCCAAGGGTAGCTGAGGAATGCTGGCCATATTCTTCCCAGTAAGAGACTCAGTGTCTTGGACAAGCCCTTCCAGTGTGAGCCATTCACCTGCATGTATGCACTGCGCCCACAGCACAGACACCTGGAGCCCAGCTGCCTCCCCCTTGCTGCGTGTGGCCCAGGCAGTGTCATCCAGCTGCCATACTGCCAGTATCCCAGGAGTAGTGTGAGGAGCCCAGCAGAGCTGTCCATGGGGTAGGTTGTGGGAGCAGCTCAGGCGCTTTCCAGCACTAGGGATCTGTTTAGTGTATCTGAAAATCTGCACACAGATTGTTAATGAGCCAGTACATGTCAATATTTAATGCTAAGGGGGGGAGCTGTGCACCACTGCCTGTCACTGGCATCAGGAGACTGGGAATGGCCCAAGCTGTGAGAGCCTTTCCCAGCCCCTTCCCCAACCCCCTGACATACAGAGGTGTCTGACTGTCTCTAGCTGGCCTCAGAGGAACAGAGATGGTGGCAGCAGCCTCATTGTGGCACTGCTTGCCTTCTTGGGCTTGACTGAAAGAGTCAGAGGTGTCATTCAGATCACACACCTCCAGGTGCATATTCTGAGCTGCACCTTTGGGAGTTTCTGCAAGCAGTCCCGACCAGCTCCCCTTCCCCATAACTCACTACAGACCCTTTCAAGCAAGAGAAGGGCTCACAGGATAGTAAATGCAGCAAAGAGTCCTGTGGCACCTTATAGACTAACAGACGTATTGGAGCATGAGCTTTTGTGGGTGAATACCCACCTCGTCGGATGCATGTAGTGGAAATTTCCAGAGGCAGGTATAAATATGCAAGCAAGAGTGAGTCAGGCTAGAGATAACAAGGTTAGTTCAATCAGGGAGGATGAGGCCCTCTTCTAGTAGTTGAGGTGTGAACACCATGGGGGGAGAAACTGCTTTTGTAGTTGGCTAGCCATTCACAGTCTTTGTTTAATCCTGAGCTGATGGTGTCAAATTTGCAGATGAACTGAAGCTCAGCAGTTTCTCTTTGAAGTCTGGTCCCAAAGTTTTTTTGCAGCAGGATGGCTACCTTTAAATTTGCTATTGTGTGTCCAGGGAGGTTGAAGTGTTCTCCTACAGGTTTTTGTATATTGGCATTCCTAATATCTGATTTGTGTCCATTTATCCTTTTATGTAGGGACTGTCCAGTTTGGCCGATATACATAGCGGAGGGGCATTGCTGGCATATGATGGCATATATTACATTGGTGGACGTGCAGGTGAATGAACTGGTGATGGTATGGCTGATCTGGTTAGGTCCTGTGATGGTGTCGCTGGTGTAGATATGTGGGCAGAGTTGGCATCGAGGTTTGTTGCATGGATTGGTTCCTGAGTTAGAGTTACTATGGTGCAGTGTGTAGTTAATGGTGAGAATATGCTTCAGGTTGGCGGGTTGTCTGTGGGCGAGGACTGGCCTGCCACCCAAGGCCTGTGAAAGTGAGGGATAGTAAATGTGGCTTGAGGGCTGTCAAACCTGCCAATGTGTGACACAAGCCATCAAACTGAGAACATGACTGAAATGCGGAACGCCTGGCTTTTGTTATACATTGCCCCATAATTTACAGGTTTTTTAACTACAGAACTTCTTCAGGGTGTTTTCTGACTGTACAAATTAAATTGATACAATTTTAAAATGAGAAAATTAGAAAAATTGATACCATTATATGCATCCATAACTCTCTTCCGCCCCCACCGCCAGGTCATCATCAGGATTTGAATCCAAGACATTCAGATCCTAAGCACACATGTTTACTAAGGAAGGAGCATGGTCTCATGGTTAGAGCAGTGGCTGGTTAGAGAGAATATAGCCAAGCTCATAGAGTTGGCACATCTATTATGACAATTTCCCAACTCAAAAAGTGTTGCATCCAACATGGGGGAGTCTATATTAGACTTCATCTTCACAGCTAAAGAACTGATCATAGAACTAAAAATTAATGGTAATTTAGATACACATGATCATGATTTGGTCACATTTATAATGTGCAAACAGAAAAAAGTCCAGACCAGTGATTTATGTACCTGTTGCTTTAAAAGGATCAATTTCAAAAAGTGGAAAACAGTTATGAGCCAATTCAGCTGGAAGTAAGAATTTTATCAGAAAAATGTGAATGATAACTGGCAATTGCTTAAGAATACTTTACTATATGCCCAAAAAGCCACAATCCCACAACTCAGGAAGAAGGCCGTGCTAATTAAAAAACAGACCAAGTTTAGCGGGGAAGTGAAGGCTGTTGTTTGTTATATATGTTCAAACATATATAACAAATGGACGAATGGAGAAGGTGATAGTAATGAATATAAATCAGAAGCTAGAAATTGTAGAAAATTGATAAGGGAAGCAAAATAACACAAGGAAAAATCTATGGCCAGTAGATTAAGAACAATAAGAATGCATTTTAAAAAGTAGTAAGATCAAAAAGAATCCTAACAATGGTGTGATGGGGTGTACCAGCCCCTTCAAGGCTTCCTGCTGGAGGCCCTGTGATCCTACCACACCCCGCCCCAGGTAGGGTTGCCACCTTTCTTATTGCTGACTCTTCTCCGCCTCTTCCCCCAAGACCACACCCCTGCTCTGCCTCTTCCCTCAAGGCCCCGCCTCTCCTCTGCCTCTTCCTCCCAATGCCCTGCCCCCATCATTCACTCCTTTCTCCATCCTGCTTGCAGGAAGGAGGTAGCCCCAATGAGCAGGGGCTGTCATTGACTAATGACCTGGTGCCTCCTGCCACCCCACAGTAACCGGACTTTTGGTTCGGGTGCCATTTAGGGTTGCCAGGTCCCCTTTTTGACCGGACTTTCTGGTTGAAAACCAGGCACCTGGCAACCCTAATTAGCACCTGGACACAGAAGCCAAAAAATGGACTGTCCGGTAAAACCTAGACAGGTGGCAACCTTAGACCCAGGAAGAAGCAGCAGAGGTGGGTCCTCCAGGCCTGCCTAAATAGGCCTCATGGCAGGAGCCAATCAGAGCCTAGCAGGCTCAATTAAAAGGAGCTATAGGGCCTGAATAGGTCAGTTCCTGGCTGAGACCAGAACAGCAAGGAAGGGTGCTTGTTGCTGCTGACAGGAGCTCAAGAAGAGAACCAGAAGACAGCTTCTGGTGATCTCTCTATTCAGCAAGGAGGAGGAAGATTTGAGAACCTCAGCCCTGAGTCGGGGTGAAGAGAAAAGGGCTACATGGGAAAAGGCCCATGGAATAGCAGCAGGAAACTGAAGGAAGCAGTATGTGGCTGCTGTATGTAGGGTCCCTGGGCTGGCACCCGGAGTAGTGGGTGGGCCATGGTCCCTCACCACGCAGCCTACTAGCGAAGTGACCTAAGCCCCCAAGGGGGACAAGGGTCTGTTTGGAAGCCCAAGTGAAGACAGTTTTGTTGAACCCTGCAACCCTGGAATGGGGCTGAACTTGAGAAATCTGGCTGGAGAGCTGGGGCAGTGAAGATAGAGAGACTCCAGGCAGAAAGCCCCCAGGGGCAGTGCTCTATAACAGTGCAGGGAAGGACAAGAAAACTCCTGCTTTCCACTTTAAACAAGCCCTGCTGCTATTAATAGCTCCTCCAGGGGGGTTTGCTAACTACACAGGAATTTCAAGTAGATAGTGTTAGTTCAGGCCCCAATTCTTCCTGACCTCAGAAGAGATCAGCCTTAGCATTGCCATATGTAGCATTGTACATGTTCAAAGCAGTGTGCAGTATTTGCAGTATTACCAAAGCCAAAATTTCACAAATTATGAGTCAGATCCTACTGGGAATTGTGTGATTATGGGAGACTTTAATTTCCCAGATATAGACTGGAGGACAAATGCTACTACTAATAGTAGGGCCCAAATTTTCCTGGACGTGATAGCAGACAGATTTCTTCACCAAAGGGTCGCTGAACCAACAAGAGATGATGCCATTTTAGATTTGGTACTGGTGAGTAGTGAGAAGCTCATGACCTGGCTCATAGAACTCAGCCTGAGAAGGAGCCAGAATTTACCAATGTACATTGCCCAAAAGCCACAGTAATATGTCAGCAGTCCCCGATCAGTTCCCCCACTCCAAGCGCCTCCCACCCACCGGCAGCCCCACTGTCTCCCTCCCCGCACCTCCCAATCAGCTGTTTCGTGGCTGGCAGGAGGCTCTGGGGGGGAAGAGCGAGGAAGGGATAGGAAG